TTACTTTCTGTCTTGTAACACAAACTAAAATAATATTCGTATGTTTAATATAAATATAGAAAAACCACGAAATTCTGAATATAGTTTATTTATTTGATAAAATATGCAATCTTACTCTCTAAAACTTTTAGAGTGAATCTTATTCTGGAGAGTGAAATCTCACTCTTAAAGACTGGAAATCGAGCCACTCTTTTTCAAGACTGGCTCAATTTTCACTCTTCAGCATGAGATTCCATTTTAAAGAAATTTAGAGGCTATCGTCAAGATATTCTACTTTTACATTAAGTTCGTTCTTTTTAGCTGAACTTCTTGCACATTCTTTTCTCTTTTTCTCTCCGGAGAAGTTCAATAAAAAGAAATAGGCCTATTCTTGAGATTAGATTAGTGTACAACGATTTTAATACGATTTGTGTACACTAGTGCATGCAACCGAATTCGCTATTACTCGGCACGAAGTCGCATAGTATCGTGTCGCGACAGTTTCGCACGAACGTTTCCATTCTCGAGGGTCCCCCCTTAGATCAAACGAAATGGTCTTTCTTTCGACTTCCACCAACACGACGGAGGTGTCGTCTGATCTTACGTGTCTGGAATTTTGTTCTCGGAATATTTACAACTTTTTATACGCACTTCTCAAATATTCAGCCCTTTATTGTTAGTCCGGATCTACTTCTAGGTATTTTAAGGTCTTAAACCGTAAGAAACTGAATTACAACTGCAAATGCAAAGAAAATAATCGATTGTCCATTTCTTATGGATTAAAGCTTAAAAATCTATTATCTATAGATTCGGATTTATCCACAGAAGCTTATAGTAACCCAATAACGTTTTTATTTATAAACGTAGATTAAACTTTTTCTTATGTCCATTTCTACCACAAGTAGTTTAATTTTTTAATCTTGGTTCAACTAACTGTTCATTTTTTTCTAGTTCTAAGAATTAGAAAAAAGTAAAGAATAAATAGAATCGAGATTAAAGTTAATCTACATTGATGGAAACAGAATAAAAGAAGAGGTCTATTGCTATAATATTGTTGTGTAATATTTCTACAATATTGTTACAAATGTTGCTGCAATTTTGTTGGAATGATGTGTACTGTATGAGTAAGATATCTAACTCTTCCCACATTAACTCGAATATATACTTTAAAATAATCAAGTATAATCACCAAGAAATGCATAGTAATATGTCGCAGAAATAGAAGAAAAAATGTCTCAAGATCGCACTCATATATTTTCATTATTTTTAAAAAACGTTAGCATTTTTAGTTGTTAATGATAGTTCGAAAATTATCTAAAGATACGTTATTATAAATGACACGTTCAGAAATACGTTATTATAATCTCTCAATGAAATTTACATGTATCGGTACGCAAGAAGTACGATTTACCGCGCGGTTAAATGTAAATGTATGTAGCCAGCGGAGTAGACAGAATAAAAAAGACAAGACGGTAGACGACGACGACGCTGTAGAGACTTGTGCGAGACGGTGTGTTCCCATACGTCTAACGATCATTTCTTTTTCTTCGACCTTCCTTACTCCTTGGATATTCGCGATATAACGCGTCATCGTCGCCGAGTAGAATAGTTTCACTAAACTATTCTGACATTCTTTAAAAGTGTTCATAAAATAATAATTGCATGAGATTGTGTTTGCTCATCGCGATGGCATGCTTATCAGAATCCGTATTTTTTTTTTATACATTATCGTTAAGTATGAGTTGTACCTAAGAATTATATATAAATTTATAAGAGTTATACATTACATTGATATTTTTTTTGCTTTTTTTTATTTATATTACTTAAGTAATATTATTTTTGTGTCAGTATGTATATGATATGTAAGAAAATATCAATAATTTAAGAGAATATACATATAACATACGTAGCACAAAAAGTCTAAAGCGATTTTTTTTTAATTTTTTGCAGATTACTTATCAATGTGAATCTTGATGAAGTGATATATGCAATTTATTCGTACACTTCATCGATTTATTTATCTATTTTGTGCATTAATAATTTTTAAAAATAAAATTAATTTTTAATTTAAAAAAATTATATATATCTATATTTAACTCAAGAGTTAGGAATTTGATAAAAAAAAAATCTAAAAAGAAATATTCAGATTAGTATAAATTGTGTGTATAAATTGTGTCGATAGCAATAAAGTATTCACGATGTCTAATTTTTTTGTATATGCGGGAAAATTGGAATCTTAAATGTGATATACATTTAATACACTTAAATGTGACATCACTTAGTGTAATATTAGTTTTATTTAATTTCTGCTAAGACTCTTAGCCAAAAATAATTCAATACGAAATTCCAACAGTCAGTAAATAATATTATTTAGGCTGGGTTGTTCTTTCGGTAAACTTCAGCTCCATATCTTATATTCTAACTCTTTTATGTTCTTATTCTTTTACTCTTTTGTTTATCCAATAAATAAATTATTATATAGTTTATCTGAAGATGAAACAATTGGCCCTTCCTTAGTATAATAAATTAAAAGTAAATTAAAAATAATGCATATCTCAAAAGATAAAAAACTATGACATATAAGATTCATATCTAAAAACATTAAAAGGCAAATGTACAGGAGTATAAATTAATTCTCGGCCTTTTTCAAAATTCAATGTTTATTTTTAAAAAATACTGTTACATTTTAGTCTGGGAAGTAATTTCCATCTATACATTTTTGCCACTTCATCAGAAAATTGACGGATATCTTCGCGGAAAAAAGACAGTGGTTTCGATTCAATGAAGTCATCGGAACATTTTTTCACATCTTTTTCTGTTTAGAAGTGAGAATCTGCTAAATGATGCTGTAGCGATCGGAATAAGTGATAATCCGATGGGATTAGATCAGGAGAATATGCATGCAACAATATTTCCCAACTCAACGCATAGATAAATTTCTTCGTCGCTTTCGCTACATTGTCGTGCACTTGCCATGTCCTGGTGTACAGTCTTTTTTCTTCTCAATGGCATCACTCAGTTGGTCTTGATAACATTGAACAATAATTGTTTCATATTTTAATAACTCGTAGTATATACGCCTTTGTAATCCCATCAAATACACAATAAAATTTTTTTTGCGTGAATACACTATTAATCGCAATCTCTTTCGAGAATTCGTCAGGTCGAACTAACAATTTTCTTTTCCGATTGTTATACACCTATTTTCGTCGCCAATCACTACTTTATAAAGGAAATCTTTTCTTTTAAAACGCAAAAGCAATGATCCAGCTATATCACAGCGTCTCTCTTTATTGTCTACACTAAGCATATGCGGAATCCAACGACACGCTTTCTGGATCAGTCCTAGCTTTTATAATCATACTGAAACAGTTTGCGTCACTTCAAGAGCTTGTGCGAGTTCTAATTGCGTTTAACACGAATTTTCATTCAATAGATTCTCTAATTCTTGGTTTTCAAATTTTTTCGGCTATTCAAAACAAACTTCATCCGACAAATAGAAATTTCCTTTGCGAAATTATGTAAATACGAAATTGCATCTTCTCCGAAGATCGAACATATCAAAATTTGTTGCTTCGGCGGCATTTTTTTTTTTTTTATTTCAAACATGAACGATATACAGATGAAGATGCTTTTTCTGAAATGACATTCGTTCCGCACAAACTTCACTTATTTTTTGAAGTTATGTTAATTCAATTGTCAATTGTATAATTGAATGTTAATGTTCTTAGGTTGATCTTGAATATCCCAAACAGGGTCGGAACTTAACAATTTATATTAATGTTATAGTTAATTTTAAGGGAGGACCGAGAATTAATTTATACACCTATTATTTCTTTTGAAATAATACTATAACTTATGACTTTTTAGAATATTCTAACATTACACAAGATTAATTCAGTAGTGAAAATAGAAAGTAATATTTTATTCTAGGATGCGCGTGCGAATAATAATTTGAAATTTTTACAAATATATCTAAAACTATCCCTGATAACATGAATTACTATCATGTATGTTCATTATTGCTTTAAT